ACAAAAGTGATCACTTGGGACAGAATTGATGGATTTCTATAAGAAGTTACAGTGGCTCCAAGCGGAACAAAGAACTATAGAGATGGGACATCAGCTGATCGACAAGTGCAAGCGACTGTGTGCCTACACTGGCTGTAATGACGAGGGGCGGTGGGGTAGCCTAGTGGTTAAAGCGTTGGCTCGTCACGCCGAAGACCCGGGTTCGATTCCCCACATGGGCACAATGTGTTAAGCCCATTTCTGGTGTCCCCCGCCGTGATATTGCTGGAATATTGCTAAAAGCGGCGTAAAACCAAACTCAGTCAGTCAGTCAGTGTAATGACGAAATGAATACTTAATCAAGGCATATACCCCTGTCAGAGTAGCACCCTAATTAATTAAGTATAAAGGGAAACGGTCATAGGAAATTAACGGTTCTTTATGTGATCGTAAAATCCTTTGCGTGGCCACTGGCAAATAGGTCTTCGTTTCTTTAAATCTTGCAGGATGCGACTGCATTGGACAGGGCTTGTGCCTTAGTTCATTCAGAGCCTTTGTACATCAACGTGCTCATAATTTCAACCACTGGTTCATTATAAAGTAGTCTCTTAAAACATAATCTTAATCTCCAAGATATGAAACATAACAGTGCACTTATTCTCAGTCCAATCTTATCAATGCATGAAGTAAAATCTATAAAGTAAATGCATGGGGTGTGTTAGGAGAGAAAGAAATACTGCATAGTTGCGTCTCAAGGACTGCCGTTGTTGTTCGGGTCGATGGATCTGTGGGCAATATTCCCTTGAGTGGTATTTGCAAAGATAATAATCATTTCTGTTGATGCAACTGGGGAGGTGCAAGCACATTTATGTGAAGGATTTATTTACATCCCTGTTACATTGGAGAATTGACAGAACCGATCCCTTCCCTAGCATCGACTGTTTCTGATGATGCTGAAAGCTGTCTGAAATTTCTTTGCAAACACGTTATTTACAGTAACGATATTACTAAACAAGCATCCAAAAATAGAAATGTGTATGAAATGAACAAAAACACCCGTACAAATATAAAGATAAGGAAAATATAAATTTTTCAATATTAATAAAATGCCACAACAGAAATGTGAAGAAATACAATTGCATGTCTGATTATATGCATGCACTGTTATTTCCACGTTCCTGTGACATGCATACATCTTACGTCATATTTCTATACAACCAAGATTTCTATTCTGGTAGACCGGCATTTATAAGGTATCAAATTATGCCTACAGGAACGACAAATGACATGAACAAATGTTGCTAACATATTTCCCATGGGAAAAACAAAACAAAAACAACATGCCAGTAACTTTTTTATTGACACGGCGATGTCACAAAACACCAATCGTTTTATTAGCACTTGAACCAAAGGAGTAAACGATTTTTGAAATATTCTTACTGCATTTTCTAGCGTCATACTGACCGGCATTCCCCATTTTACACACCAACACCCAACATTTCAAAAACATGTTAATCTGTGATTCCTATCGCCGTTGAGTCAGTTGGTCTCATGATGGGGGTTTATCAACACAAAAGCCGAATAAGTGGATTTCTTTTTCACAAAATGGTAACCATCTAATATCTGCACCCACATACAATTCCCACATGATCTGACTGAAGTATTAATCTAATCCAGACTCTCACAGATTTTAAGTCTGGTTTGAAAATACACATCTGACGTCAGAGTAAAGGGAGCTCAAAGTCAGAGGATAGTTTCCTCAGTCTCATAGGGATGAAACACCACTCACACTTGAATAACATTTAGTTCTATAACGCATCACCATGTCAAGGCTCTCTGGCATTTCCTATGTCCTGCAAGATATCCCTCTCTCTATTATGCATTACCAAATAGAAGAAGTCAGAGCGCTGATGTTGCTGAATTTCACAATAAGGCTATTCGTTAAAGAAATAGAAGTTCCGGTATACTGTTTCTCAATAGCCACGAGTTGGTTCTGTCAGAGGTTTCTGAAAATGGAAGCGAAGGAAAATGTAACAGTGACTGTGACAAATAAATAATATAATAATAGCATAATGTTGTCCTCAAAAACAAAGCATGAAAACTCATTGTGACTTCTCAAATGGCTCTTAACTGGATTTGAGGGTGTTTACTGAAACATATGTTTAACCATCATTACACAAGGGGGAAAAGTCGTATGGAACGGATTTCAATAATCAGAATCTGCCTACAGGAATACATAAAGGGAACATTCATATGATCATACGTTCCATCAAATGTATTCCAGTACATTCTAGCTTATATAGAGTATCTCTTTAACTACAGTCACAGGCTTGATACAATGTGGTTATAGACTCTCATGTGTGTATGCTCTTGTATTGGTCTGTCGCAGTTGGTGGCGCACTTTGGTGAAGATATGAGGCTGGCATATATGCTTAAACGTTCTTTCAGTAATTAATATACAAAACCCTTTGTAAACACATCCAACATAATTGACAAAATGATGGCCAGATACCTTATATTTTGAAATATTCTGTTACGTTGCATGAACATTACATTGAATCTGACGAATGTTTAACAATGTTTTGGTGATTAGTGAGTGAGTGTTTGAGTTCAAATTTAACGTCACCTCGGCAATATTTCAGCCATATAGTGACGTGAAATGTTTTACATAAACAATAAATTTAAATTACTAAAAATCAGTCATCGAAGGACTGTAAAATAAGTAGAGTATCACAAATGGAGCCTAAAACTAGCATGGACACGAAGAAAATACAATATAAAAACGAGTTATAGGTCGCCAACAACTGAAGGTAGATCACCATACTAGGGACCATGTGGACTTACAGTGCTTTGGCTACCTGCATTGTTGGTGTTTAAAGGAAAATAGTATAACACAAAACTATGAAGTAACTTGAGTATTAGCAATTACAGATTACTATTTCTCCCACTGAAGTGAGAGTAGAATATAGTCTGGTGATGCATAATTTTAGTTAATAACACTTTTGTAAGTATATTTGTTCAGCATTTCCAGTATATTAGGCTAAGGCTCAGGTAAAGACCATGGGGACATATAGCTCACTGTTTCGTATCTAACTTAAATGTCATGTTCTAAAAGGTTTACTTCATAGCTAATGAGATGAATTATGCTAAGTAACAGTGTTCGTTGTTTAAAACTTTCGAAAAGACATTTAATGTAAAGTTATAACTTATGGTTCGAATAGAAATAGAGAATTATTAAAAACCTAAAATGAATGTCTACTCATGCCAATATTTTGAATGTCAAAATCTACAGAGAAACAAGTCGTTGATCTGTAATGACCTTCGGGGATTTGTTAGTAGGTTAAGTTAGTCATGATGTCATTTACATAATCAAGACATATTGTACCTATAAGAACATTGAAACACATTTCATTCTGAGAATTTCGACTTAAATGTTGGGGCTGACAGAGGAACGCAGTACTTTCCATGTCGCGAATGTGGCGTTAGGCTTCACCTCAGGCTAATTATTAAGAATAGATATTTGTACAACAAACCTTCAAAGCATTGAGATATTGTGTCCATGAGAAATGGCCCCATGTGTCATCCTTGCAAGCACCTGCAGACATCTTGGGGCGATACATGGCCGTATTTCCTAACAAAGGCAAATCTGTAAGTGCTTCTGCATGTCCATGGAAGGGTCATTAAGAATGACAGACAAGACCTCGTCACCACCTGAGGCAAACATTTCAGCTGTATTTGGTGACTATTCCCAATTATACAAGGCCACTGAAGTGAACCGTTGAGATATTACACTTGGCCTTTATTGGTAACAAAGTGAAGTGAGTGGATGTCTTGGTTTAATGGTTACCCGGGGAAGTATGCCAGATATACATGATCAATTCAGCATAGTGGGAAAGAAAAGGCAAAGATGTTTCCGTTTGGTGAAAACAACCGAGCAAGGGAAATGTGGAGACACTCAACTGAGCAGACTTTACGAATACTGGATGTGAACCAAATTTTAGTGTGTCCTTGCTCATCAAGGCAATCCATGTGCCATTCTTTCGGAAGAATTGGATTTGAAACATAGTGTGAAAGAAAATGTTACAGTTTTCCAAAGAGCAATACTTCGCATGCAAAACTGAAAGGAAAAGCTGAAGAGAACAGTTATAGAGCACTTCGATTGTTGATTCAGATTTTTAAAAAATGTGTTTCTACATATTTAGTTTAGTCATAGTGAAGTGACGTGTTCCCCGAATACACAACGCACAGTAACGGTGTTGATGGATGTCGATGCGAGTGTTTGTAGAGGTGAAAATATAGTTAACATATATATCATCGCACTGGAAAAATATTTTGATGCTGCAAGAGAAAACGTGTGTGGGAGCTAATCCATATGAAAGCAATACCTATGCAATGAAGCATCTGTGGTCTGAGTCAAAACTCTCAAAACAAAGAATTGAGTACCTATGCTATTGATAATGACAAACGCTGTTCAGGTACAGAGCACCACCGTATATTCTAACCGTACGATGTTAAGAGGATTCGATGACAGTGAACTATATCACCTCACAGGTCTCAACTTTATCATATGTTTAGATAGATGCAAGGTGTCTCAGGTTCAGTTCATAAGTATTCGTGTATTATGTCCAGTGGTTACGAGATGAGGATAGTGCAAGCTAAGGCAAGGATACAAGCTAGGCAATAATCACAATGTGACTTACGAATCTGTACTCAGCAATACACAGACGATGCGATTAATTCTCTGACGACTTTTTCAGTGCAGTTTTTAAAGCTTTGGTATCCCCTGTCATTGTGTCTCTGAATTATTGCTGAAGGCGAACCATAAACACTCACTCGTTACATTACTTGTTACACAGATTCAGCAGAGTACTCATATGCAATAAGCACTCAAATACACCTGATAATTAGTCATTAAATGTTACAATTGCTGGGCGTTTTCATTGAAAACAAATCATTGACATACAAGGGAGAGCAAAAACCACAACCATCTCAACTTACAACACTCCAGAATCAAATTCACCATGGAAACAGAAAACCACCACCAATTAGCCTTCCTCGATGTACAACTCGACAACAGTCAAGATAACATCCACACTGCCGTCTACCGCAAACCAACCCACACGGAACAATACATTCACTACCTGTCAAATCACCACCCTCAGATCAAACAAGCCATCATTGCCACCCTCACCCGACGAGCCATAGCCATCTGCAATTCAGACGGCCTCAGCCAAGAAATCCATCACCTAAAGCACACCGTCAGTGCCCTCAACGGATACCCCAAACAGCTAGTAGAGAAGACCATACGCAAAACCCTGGCCTCCCAGCAAAAATACCCTAATCCCAGGTCCAAACAAGCCTCATCACCTATCCTCGTCAGTATCGCATACCTAGGTCCCATAAGTCACCAGATCAGCAGATTGCTCACCAGTACAGCCAAACTAGATGTAACTTTCACATCAGACAGAACACTAAAGAACATGCTACATGCTAATGGGAAAGGCCCCATTGAGTCCACCCCAAATCCTAGAGGATGTGTATACGAAATAGCATGCAACTGCGGAGACAAATACATAGGATAGACATCACGCCCCATAGCTACCAGGATAAAAGAACACAAGACCTAGAAAAATCTTAAATGAAATCTGCCCTTTCGGAACACCTCATCAAAAATCCCGACCACCACATTTCCTGGCAACAAACCCAGATTCTACACACCAACATCGACCACTGGAAGAAGCGGAAACTTCAAGAAAGCATTGAGATCCAGAGAAAGAAGCCAGCCATTAACCGGGACCAAGGCATTTACCTTCCCAGTGTATACTCTGTTGTCCTATGATCTCCTGGCTTCATCCGTTCATTGTTATCTTTAATCCTATCAAATTGGTTTCCTATTATGTTGTTATTCTTGTACGTCACTCCACCCCCACTCTTGGATTTGTGTACACAATACATTGTTTTCTTTATGCATTAATCCAACCTTATTGGCTTCGTAATCTTATAGGCTTCGCGGTTATATTGTTGGCTACGTAATTATATTGTTATCTTTGTACATTTTCCCTCCTTGCATTGTGTAAACATGTTTTATCTTCATATATTCACTCTTTGTACTGACTCAGTATTCACCTGATGAAGGAGCAAGAATTAGCTCTGAGACGTCGTGTAAAGAATAAAAAGAAGTTGTTGTCCATAAAGGTGTCATGTATTCATGTTGTCCCTATCAAACATACGTCTAGGCATAAACAAGTCAGTGGTTGTTCATACTGAACTGACAAAACAAATGCAACATGTTACCAATGAAGATCTGGATTAGAATTGGCCATCAGCAACCCATGCGTGTCGTAAGAAGCGACTGAGGGGATCGGGTGGTCAGGCTTGCTGGCTTTGCTGTCGCACGTCATGGTATCCCACTTGCGTAGAACGATGCTCATGCTGTTGATCACTGGATTGTCTGGGTCAGACTTGATTATTTACATACCACGGCCATATTGCTGGAATACTGCTGAGTGAGGAGTTAAAGAACAAACCAACAAACCACATAAGAAACAATATACCACGTCTTGAGATTTTTGTAATTGATTTTTGTATTTATGTTATCTACTAAAATAAAGTAAGCAGTATAACACAACTACAGTTAACTCCAGCACGAAATGGAGACACGTCCGTCACTTTCACAGCAGTGAAACAGACTAAAGAAGTGCCACTGACGTAATGTAACCGTTCTCATGATGTTGCCACTGTCGAGACTTCTTTCATGTTATGAATGGCAACTCAAAGGCGGATAATTGACAAGTATTTCTCAGTTGAACATGCAAACTTCAGTACTCATGTTACTTCAGTACTTAATGTGCCCACATCTTATGCAATAAGCTGAAAAGCATAGATAACTAAATTTGAGACACCAAATTTTAACTCACCTGTAAGAACAATTTCATTTTTCTAACTATAGTTTCTGAGAATACTTGTCATCACTAAGAAGCGGGCGGACTGGAAGACGAGCGGACAAATCGCATCCCTATGTGCCTTGCTTGCACATAGGGCAGAGGAAAAGAACATTCCATTAGGGAACTGATGAGTGTCATTTGTAATCTTCTAAGATGAATAATGTAACGATACATAACACAATAACAATGAAAACTGACATTAGTTTTTAGACTCAAGGGCAGGCGCTGTCGTGATGGTCATGTGAAAAAAGCCAATAGTCACAGTCTTGATAGAGTACGTCTGGATGTTTCGACGTTTACTCATGAATAGTTGATCACTGTGAATCTACTAATAGAATGAGTGTTTAAGGAATAAATGATTAGCCACAACACAACGTCTTTTAGACATAGTAAATGACATTTGGTGTTTTGAAGAAAAATTGGTACAATCATATGACAGATTTTTACCAGTTTAAATAGATTTGGTTATTACAAAATACGTGTAATTTTGTTGCATGGAGCAACTCGTTTTTCTGTTCGTAAATCGAACGGTCGTTTTTGTGCTGCTTCTCTCTGACTCGAACGTTAATGATATTTGCGCACATACTGATTGAAAACATATGTCTCAGTTCTTCGCTTTTCATTTTTCATTCATGTATTATTTGTTGAACGCAACCTTTGGTACCTCGTCAGTTTCCAAACAGGGAAATCACCCCAATTCTGAAGGTCTGGGGTTTGGGTACATGAGAAACTGTACATACACACCGATTATTAGCATACTGTCAAACGGGTGCATTCGTAAGGATTGCTTTAAGATATTTAATCAGTTTTAACAAACAACATCCTGTTGAAATACCTTTCTCTCACGTGGATGAACGGCAAACACTGTTGAAAAACGTCACAATCACACATCCTCTGCCCAATCAAGACACTCTGATATTTGAAATTGCCTTGTTGAAACATTCATTGCTTCACTACAAAGGAAGTCTGCCCACCTAATATGTCACTTGTCCATTAGATGTTCGCACTTATTAGTTCAATCGTGACTATGTTCACTTTCGCATGTAATGATCTTGCCTCAGGAAGACTTTTGTTTCTCCTCGGGGAATACGAAGGTAATTATAATTAAACAGATAAATACATTTAAAGTTTACACTGTCTCCTCATCATCTTGGTGACGACAGAGTGTTGTCGATAAATGTTATGCCAATGACGCCTACACAAGCTGTCATTCAGTTGATCCATGGTGTCATAAAAAAATATCACACTGCCATGCAAATTCTAAAATCTGATCATTGTGTGATGTTTTCAACTTGCATCAGATAATGAAAGACAAAGGCATGGATCTGAATGAATTATCGGTGTTGGAGGAGTTAGACGTTCACGTTTTCTTATAATCTGACAGAAAGTCATAAAAGTGTTTCAGTGAATGTAATTTGTAAATTATAGGATGTAGTCTTCTCTTGAAACTGCCATGAAAGTACTGACAGTCTCTTTTGGTAGGTTTACAGCTTGTTTAAAAAAATCTTCACAACAGAAACCGACATGCAAGTCGCTCGTAAATGCAGTATTTGGTATCCAAGTAGACTTCAGAAGTTGAAACTACTGCTGTTCTCAGAAACTGAATCACAAACGCTGGGGGCCGCGATTTTCTGAGTTGCGTTCATTGTTGGTGTCGAAGCCCCGATATTTATTCCTTGTGAGTCTGGTCTAATATTGACCCTCAACAATCTTATGGCGACTTAATGGATTGAGGAACAGACTCAATGACTGTAACTTGGATGTGAATGGAAGGCGTATTTATCTTTGCTCGCCATTTGAAACACAGGATTGTCTGGTTCAGACGCTATTATTTACATACTGGTGGTTTGAATACTATCGAGTGCAGCGATAGACGTAGAACAGAGAAGCTAGACTTTCATGTGAGGTATTTATTTAAGATTTATGAGGATCACTCAAATGTTGAGCACCAGTACGTATAATTTCAAAAGTTAAACCATATTATCTTAATACGTAAGTGGTGGGATGTGAATTGTTTTCTGATGAGGTCGTTAGTGTGGGTTGGGTCACAGGCACGTTAATTGAGATATATCCCTCATTGCTTAATACAAGAGTTTGTAAACAATGAAGTTACATCGAGCACCTATCACCGTCCTATTGACACAGCGTTACAGTACCTTATGACATCGGCTATCACGCCGCTCAGGAAATGCCCACTTTACCATCGTCCTGCACGCGGAACAGGGAAAACGCCAAACAACAGGGAAAGTTACATAGAACATATAAAAAACCTCCTGATGAAAACTTATAATCAATAAAGAACAGAAAAGGTTTTTACATATGCGTCCGATTTCATAGAAAGGAAACTTTATAGGTTATGTGTTGTATCGCTACTTTGCCAAACCTTTCGAAAAAACCCCCAAAACTTTGGTATATGATAGCATAAATTTCCGTCGATTAATGCACAAAAGGTTAGTCTTTGGGACACACTTCCACGAAAGAAATCAAAATGTATTCCTGTATGGCATACAGCAATGTTGGACTACTGGATTTTCTCTATGACCTTTATAACTGACACGGAAGTGATAACCTGTTTGAGTGGCATTTTGAAGTTGGTGTGATGAACAACGAAGAGAGTTCTATGGGTGTACAACTTCTTTAATATAATAAAAATAATGATAATAATAGTGGATTTGTATTGCGCTTTTCCATACTTGGATATTATGCTCAAAGCGCAGTGAGATTTGATCAGAAGAAAGCTTGGCGGAAAAGATGGGTTTTGATAGCTGTTTTGAAGGCAGAACAGGTTTGACACTGGCGGACATCAAGGGGGAAGATTGTTCCAGGCAGTGGCTGCAGCATATGCAAACGATTTCTTCCCATAACTAGAGAGTTTCACTTTTGGAACAATAAACAGATGTTTGAATTCAGACCGAAGGGTTCTGCTGGGACAGTACAATGGAAGTAAGTCACAGAGATACTGTGGGGCTGTTTGAGAGTAGCATTGGAATGCCAGATAAAGGAGCTTAAAGTCGATTCGTTGTTTTACCGGAAGCCAGTGGAGTTCTTGGAGGATGGGTGTGATGTGGTTCGACATGGGTGACAGAGAGACAAGGCGAGCAGCTTTATTTTGAATCCTTTGGAGTCTGTTTAGGTTGATATTTGGAGAGTTGGCGAGAAGACTATTACAATAGTCAAGGCGAGAAATGAAAAGAAAGAGAGTCAGCGTTTTTGTAGCTTCTTTGGTGAGACAGGGTCTGATCTTGCCAATGTTCCTTAATTGTAGGAGGCAGACTTTAGAGAGTTGACTGATTTGCTTGTCCAGACTAAGATCAGAATCGATGACAACCCCGAGGTCTTTCACATGGGATGACAGAATGGTATGGGATGAGGTATGGTAGAATTGTTCACTCTCATCGAGTGAATTTGGCATTTCTGACGCCTCTGTGATGGACCAATGAGGATTGCTTCAGTTTTCTCAGCGTTCAACTGTAGCTTATTGTTGGTCATCCAAAGTTTGATTTCTTTACAACAATCGGATGTTCGGGAGATAGCCATGGCAGCTGCAGAGGGCCTTGGTGTGAAAAGATTACACAGCTGAGTGTCATCATCATACAAGTGGTGTAGGAGATTATGTTTGCTGCTGATGTTGCCTAGAG